GAATTGGAAACATCTTCATAGCTCATTTTATTGGAATTCATAATCAATCAGGGGTATCCCCTAGCTCCCATGGTCTCCAGAGCAGCAAGGCCAGCTATGGAGCTGCCATCGTGTGACCACAGTGTGATGTCTCAGAAGGGCTCTGGGTGGGCTGAGCATCTGGGCTGTGCCCTGGCTCAGCTTTTCACCCTCAACAAAGTCCCTGTGGACTTCAGTTTCTTCACCTCTAAAATGGGGGACTTGGACCAGGTAGATTGCTGAGCTCACTACCAGGTTCAAAGTTCAATGACAAACTCAGTTTACTGAGGTTTGAGAGAACATCCCTCCAGGGGAGCCTGGGAGCTGCTCTCCCAGTCTAAGCATGTAGATATCATCATTTGCCTTTTGTGTGTGTGTGTGTCCCTTATTTGATAAAAAGATGTTTTGGTGTTTTTTTGTTTTTGTTTTTTTTTAAGCACTCACTTGTAATTTTAGTTTTTAAACCCAAGTTCCTCTAACTTTGCTTTTTGATACCAAACAATTCAAAAGTTGGACCTGAGTTTGGAGACAGATATTTCCAACCTAAGTGGGTATTATTTTGAAACCAGATTTTTAATTTAATAGCCTATATTTGTAGTCTGTTGGATAGGTGTTTCCAAAGTGTGTCTTCTGAAGTGAAAACACAACTCTAGGTTTCAAGTACTTCTTTTCTCCGATCCTGTGGTACTTGAATATCTAAAAACCCTGCACTTTGAAAAATCAGCAGTTGCTATCTGGAACTAAACAGAACTATGAGTAAAATTGCCTGGATACTTTAAAAAGATAGTTTCCCTCCTTCATCTCCTTTGACTCCGGGACAGACTGGAATATAAGTAGTGGGTCTGCATGGATGTTTCAGGGATCAAAGGAGCCACCTGAGCACCTGAATGCCAACCCTCAGGGCCACAGGTGGGTGTGGTTTGGGCACGGGTCCAAGTGACTGTGACGGGAACGTCCGTAACCTGAAGAAGTTGTTTTCTGACAATCACCAAATCATCTGAATAACATCAAAAACAGCCCTTGTCTCAGAAAATTGAGATTTCTGTGGTCTCAACTTTGCTTTGGTATAATTTCTGACACTCGCCAACCTCTATCATTATGACTTTCCCCCCAGTGTATTATTTCTCTAATACATTTCCTTTTCGTGTTCTTTTAGCACAGACTGGCACTTTACCCCTCAATTTGGAAGCTATTCCCTCTCCTCTGTACTTTTCCCTTCACCCAACTACAGCTGTGATCCTGACGATTGATAGTCATATTTCTGCCACTACTACCTTCATTTCTCAAGGCTTTTTATGAGAATAGGTAAACCAAGCAATAACATCCTAGGATTGAATCACCACCACAGAAGAGCGAGAGGCTCCTTTCATATGCCTGAGGCCACACCCCTTAACCTATTCTGACAGCATAGTGGCTGGCCCAGGTACTAGCTCCATTCAGAAATTTGGGAAGAGAAAAGACAGCCCTGTTGTCACACAAACCGGCGTGGGGGAGGGTGGAGCCTGGTCTGCATGGCAGTCCTGGTGGCCCCTGTGGAGGACAGGCAGGGCTGGCAGCATAGCCTTTGTTGCTACACAACCGGAATTTGCTCCCCCAGGACTGTGGGAGCCAATGTCCCAGCTGAAATCTTTTTAGTGTGTGACTCTGAATGGCACTCACATTCCATTTTGGCTCACATGAAATTAACTGAAGCCCTTTGTTCAAGCTTCAGGCTCTTAGGCATGGAAATGCGAATGTGACTGTGGCTGTCTTACAGGAGAATTCTTGTTTGTCCCTGAATGAGAGCACAGAGGCATTGAATTTACGGAGCTGCAAACTTGCCTGATAAATGAGGGAGTGGCAGTTTATAGATAGGTCATCCTTTTTCCTTCCTCCAGGTGTCCTTGCCTTTCTTCCCAAAGTCATTCATTTCTGATGATTATATGAATCCCCCTTTTGCTAGTAAGGTTCTATTTGGGCGAAAACAAGGCTGAATTTTTAAAGAGTATTTGAATATTATATTTTAGAATCAAACTGAGGTTATAAATTGCATCAACCGGACAATTCCACTGCAGGAATAATGTGTTAAAAACCAATGGGGAGAAGCACCCACATCTCTCCTGTAGTACTCCGTGTCTCATAAGCAATTTGAAGATACTTACAAGTAACTGATTCCAGTCAACTTAGGTTTAACTGACTCAAAAAATTGTGTCAAGTTTCTTTAATGTTTTTATGTTAGAAGTGAGTTTAACAGACTTGAAGAAAACTGTTATCTTTTCCTGCTGTGAGTTTACACGAATGATTCCAGAGCAGAGTGAAAGCAGAAAGCTGTTGGTTGCAATATTCTCCTCTCTGCAGCATTTTACGCTTACTGGGAACCTTATGAGTCACCATAAGAGTGGAAATATACCTGAGTTCTTGTCCTAATGGTCTCTAATTCACATTGGATCATGGGCAAATCACCTCACCTCTCTGAGCCTGTTCCCTCCTCTTAGACCATCTCTAAGACCATTTAATCTACTTACACATCATTTGCTTGAACATTGCTGAACATCAGTGTGAACTTGGCTTCTCCAGCCCTTGCAGGTGGAAACAACTATGTCAAGGCTCAAGGCTCATGCTGAGGGGACTTGGAGGGAGGGGCTTCTGCATTAAGCTTTCCTGGTGAAGACCCTTGATCTTGTCCAAAGCCCTGTGTCTTTGACTGGCTTCTCTTCAGAGTCCCCATTGTCATCGTAAGATCCTTGCTATTCTGAGGGTGGTCTTGTGACTGTGGCAGGTGCTGGCCGCTGGAATGAGGAGCCTATCTCCATCCTCCAGTGTGACTCAGGCAGAGCATTGAGAATTCCCAGGGCAGAAATCCTTCCTGCTCAGGCTTTCATTCTAAAACTACAGTCTTCATTAAAGCTGAACTTTCTGGATAGCTGAGCTTCTATGCCCGGCATCTGAATGAGAGCTCTCTTTGTAACTGTGTGGCTTGAGATCTATTTTGCCAGCTCCTGAGAAACAATACACGTGTTCTTGTTTGTGTTTGCTCGGCAAGCAGATGTCTGAGATGTAAGAGGCTTTTCTTTCCCTGTGCCATTGATTCCGACTTAGAGCTGAAGTAAAGATCACTGAAACATCACGTCAAGTTGAAGTCACTCATAGGTCTTTGTCCTTTAGGCAGGACAGGAGAGTCATTAAGAAGCATTTCACTGTAGCATTCTGTCACAATATCATCTGGAATTGTTTTCTTTGCCCAGAAAGCCTTAACTTGCCTCTAGAGAATCCCTGGTATTACAACAATATTGTGGCATTAGAATTCAAATTCTTCTGCTGTGGAAGTTTGAAGCGAAACTGCAGCAAAACCAGAGAATTTCCTCAAGTGGACTGAGGCTCCTTGTTATCTTATGCTCCCATCCCTCCCTCAACAATATGAGTGATCCAGAACTGGCCCAAACACCTCAGCTCTGGCCCCTTTTTACCCTTCTTGGCCTTACTTTGCTGTTCAAAGCCACTTTGGATTGCTTGGATGCTTTGAAAAGCCATGAAAAGTAGCCTGCCTGTGGCATTTAGAGGCCAAGCAATTGATGGAAAGCGTTTCTTCTACCTCTGTTATCTAAGCAGAGGGAAGTAAACCCCTCACGCCCCTACTGCCCCCAGTTACCCTAGAATTGCTTTTGCCAAATTGTAGTTGAAGCTAAGGAAGGGGGATCTGGCCCCTGCTGACAGAGGGAACTGGAATGCCACACAAGGCAAGGCCTGCTTCCTTCCCGTCTGTGCTGCTGCTACCTCCGAATGCTGCAGCCCAGGCTTCCTCTTACAGTGGCCCTTGGAAGTAGGCCGCAGAGTAGACAGCTGCTTCTTTTGGAAGAGTCAGTCCCCCGTGTTTTCTGAACTGTTTTTCCTAGCATGTATGTGGGTAGAGCTTTCATGCATCTCCAATAATAAGAAGCTGAAGTTAGTTTTTTTTTATTCTCCAATTTAAAACTTTTATTTAAAAAGTAAACTACTATTAATGTCGAAAATGCAAACTTGGGGAGAGCAAAAAGATCACACATAAGGCTGTCACTTCACACTTGGAGGGTTGTACAGCAGCCGGGCAGAGGCGCTCCTCACTTCCCAGACGGGGCAGCAGCCAGGCAGAGACGCACCTCACTTCCCAGACAGTGCAACAGCCAGGCAGAGACGCACCTCACTTCCCAGACAGTGCAACAGCCAGGCAGAGACGCTCCTCACTTCCCAGACAGTGCAACAGCCAGGCAGAGGCGTGCCTCACTTTCCAGATGGTGGGTGGCCAGGCAGAGGCATTCCTCACTTCCCAGAAGGTACAGTGGCCGGACAGAGACACTCCTCACTTCCCAGACAGGGCAGGGGCCGGGCAGAGGTGTGCCTCACTTCCAAGATGGTGGGACAGCTGGGCAGAGGCGCTCCTTGCTTCCCAGAGGGTGGGCAGCCAGCCAGGAAGAGCGCTGCTCACTTCCCAGAGGGTGGGCGGCCAGACAGGCGCGCTTCTCACTTCCCAGATGGGCAGTCCCCAGGAAGAGGCCCTCCTCACTTCCCAGATGGGGCAGGGGCCTGGCAGAAGTGCTCCTCACTTCCCAGAGGGTGGGCGGCCAAGCAGAAAGGCTTCTTACTTCCCAGATGGGATGGGGGCTGGGCAGAGGCGCTCCCCACTTCCCAGAACAATTCTTTATGAATTTCATAAAGGATTGAATGTGCAACTGAAACCTGCTAGTGATGATCTGGTAATATACAATTTGTCCAGTAGCCAAACAGTTTGTTTTTATTGTGTTTTCTAACCATAAGAGATCATTAAACGCAAAGCCTATATGGCGCTGTACACACACAAAAGAAAATGGTCACCGCAGGCCATACTACCAATGAAATGGTAGGTAAACGAATCTTTTTCTGGTCAAGAAAAAAAAAAAGAAATAGCACTTTGTATGCTTCACTCTACAAGATGAATTTCACTAGAAAGAATCCAGTGAAGGCCGGGCATGGTGGCTCCCGCCTGTAATCCCAGCACTTTGGAGGCCAAGGTGGGTGGATCGCCTGAGGTTAGGAGTTCGAGACCAACCTGGCCAACATGGTGAAACCCTGTCTCTACTAAAAATGCAAAAATTAGCTGGGTGTGGTGGTGGGCGCCTGTAATCCCAGCTACTAGGGAGGCTGAGGTGGGAGAATTGCTTGAACCCAGGAGACAGGTTGCAGTGAGCCGAGATCATGCCACTGCACTCCAGCCTGGGGGACAAGAGTGAGACTCCGTCTCCAAAAAACAAAGAATCCAATGAAAATGGCTGCAATTACAACAAGAAGTGAAGGAAGAGGACTGGTGACATCTCTGAAGGATGCAGTTGAGGTTGATCCAGGTCTATCCGAATGTGCTACCTTTCTGAGCCTTAAACCTTCATCTCTCAGGTGTCGATTTTCTTCTGATAGCTTCATCATTTCTCCCTGAAGTCTTTTACACTCTTCTGTTAGTTTCCTTGTTGTGGTGTCATTAAGTGAAACACTGTGTGGTTTTGGCATGGGTCCATCTTGTTCAGATGCATTCAGTGGAACAGCTTTGCTAGGTTCCATGTCATTCAATTTATCATTTTCATTGGGCATTTCAAATACACATCTCAATTTGGAATCCATTAATTCGTCAGGTTTTGCCTCTTTCCACACAACTTCCATATCTGAAGTGTTCAGTGGAGCAAAAATTGTACCATACACTTGTGTTTACTCTTTTCATTCGGATCATAGTCAAAGGGCTGTAGCATTACTGAAACAGTCACAGTTGACCCTGGGTCAATAATTCCACTGTTGGGCCTCACACAGTACCGGTGAGGCGCTGTAGTCTTCACTTTGAAACACACTTTTCTATCCGATGGATTTTGCAATTTAAGATTTATAGTGACTACATCTGTGAAGGGGCCTTTGAATTTGAGGTCTGTGGGCAGGTCGAGGACCGGGATCTGCTCGTGCTTCGCCATGGCCCCGGAGGTGGACGCCATCCGAGAGACAGCACAGAGCAGGGAGGCGGTTTGCTCGCTGGGGGCGCGGGACGATGGCGAGGGGGGAGGGGGAGTGAGTTTGCATCTCTCCTTTTCCTGGTTAGACTCTGTTCAACCACATTCTTATGTTGGCAGATCTGCTTCCAGATTGACTTTTTGAGAACCATCACTTTCACATTCCTAATTCTGATTTTGTTTTGTTTTGTTTTGTTTGGGTTTCTGAAACTTAAAATGCTGCCCTGAAAATATTATATTTTTGAGTTTGTGTTCTAAAAGCCTCTGTGCTGCTGGATCTTTGGGGGGGAAATACAGGATCCTTCAGCATTGAGGTGTTTAAGATTTGCAACTAGCAATGCAATTTTTTCTAAATATGGGGATATTTACCTTTAATAAGAAATTATACTAAACAATGATGTCCTTGATCATTTTATGTTCTCATATTCCTTTCGATTCTACTATGATTGTGTGGTGGTGAACAAAGATCATTACAAACAAAAACTGTAATTTTGTTATATTTGATTCAATGGAATTTACTTAAAAAATAAAGACTAAAAATGTGGTGTGGCTATGTGTCCTTTGTATAGTGGCAGTTTTCCATCTGAAAGGATTCTTCCTGTGTCTTCACCAAAGTATGAGATTAATGGAAATACACAAAACCCCATTTTTGCACCACAATTGATGTTAGTCCATCTTCGCAAACAAATACCAAAACCTTGACAGGGCCACAAGCATCTTCACAACCCCATCTTCTCCAGGCAAGAAAGCCAAGAACTAAAATAAGTGAAGTATCTGTTTTCTACTTTTTTATTTTTTAGAGACAGATTCTTGCTCTGTAGCCCAGGCTGGAGTGCAGTGGCATGATCACAGCTCACTGCAGCCTTGACCTCCTGGGCTCAAGCAATCCTCCTGCCTTAGCCTCCCGAGTAGCTGGGACTACAGGGACTTGCTACTGTACCTGGCTAATTTTTTAGTTTTTAGTTTTTTGCTGTGTTGCCCAGGCTGGTCTCAAACTTAAGTTCAAGCAGTCCTCCCGCCTTGGCCTACCAAAGTGTTGGAATTATAGCTGTGAGCCACCATGCCCAGCCTCAGTGTTTTAATCATTTCTTAAAAGTGAATCATGAAGACAAAATGCAAGGCAAGGTGTAAATGGTGCTTGCCATGTGTGATTTGTAGGCTTTTCCAATAATGTTCTTTGAAAAGACTAGGTGAGGACGGGTGCGGTGGCTCACGCCTGTAATCCCAGCACTTTGGGAGACCGAGGCAGGTCTGAGGCGAACCTGAGGTCGGGAGTTCAAGACCAGCCTGACCAACATGGAGAAACCCTGTCTCTACTAAAAATACAAAATTAGCTGGGCGTGGTGGCACATGCCTATAATCCCAGCTACTCGGGAGGCTGAGGCAGGAGAATCACTTGAACCCATGAGGCGGTGGTTGTGGTGAGCCAAGATCGCGCCACTGCACTGCAGCCTGGGCACAAGAGTGAAACTCCCATCTCAAAAAAAAAAAAAAAAAAAAAAAAAACTAAGTGAACATTTCCCAAGTTAAGATTATATTGGGTTGGTTGGGTGCTGGTGGTGGTTTCTTACTTGAATCTGTCTGAACCCAAGCTAAGGTCTCCCAGGACCAAGCACTGGCTCAGCCAGGAGGGTTGTACCAACCCCAAGAGACACTCACAGCTCCCTTCCCTCCTCGGCCACACAAAACCTTTGTCAAGTTAGGCAGGGTGGAGAGTGTTAGCTTTAGAAGTTGTGCATTAACAAGACCTAAAAATGCCCAGTGCCAAATTTCAAACTTCATTCCTCTCTGGTAAGCAAGCTTCCCCTCAATTCATATCCCCCACAAAATAGCCAGACTATTTTGGCCCAAGAAAACCAGCTTGCAAAGAATACTACCTATGGAAAGACTACATGGAAGAGATTTCAGGTCCAGGGCATTAGGCCGGTCAGTGCCAGCTGCATGCCAGTGTGGTCAGGCAGGACCAGTAGCACACAGCTGCCCTCTCCTGAGGCAGCCGTACAGCATTTGTGCTCAGTGACACCTCACTCACTGCCCCAGTCATGCTATTTTTTATTTTACCTTTCATTAACAGGGCTCTCTGCTCTAGTCCTATGGAGAGTACTTTCCCTTGGTGAAGATGAAACACCTAACTGGATGGCCCTTCATATGACAGCCTCCCCTCCTCACTTCTCTCTTGGGTATCTTTAGAGGGAGTTCCATGAAAGTGCTGCCCTGTATCGGAGTGGTTGAAAGACATGACAGGCAATTTGGCCTCGGACTGGTGAACCCCTCCCCAAAGGGGCTAAATTAAACACCTCTCTCCATGTGGCTTTGTGTCACCCACACCTTCCTTTTGATTAATGCTGCCTACCACATTTACCCCAGCATCTCTACTAACGACTGGTTTCCTCTTTTTTTTTTTTTTTTTTTTGAGATGGAGTCTCGCTCTGTCGCCCAGGCTGGAGTGCAGTGGCCGGATCTCAGCTCACTGCAAGCTCCGCCTCCCGGGTTTACGCCATTTTCCTGCCTCAGCCTCCCGAGTAGCTGGGACTACAGGCGCCCACCACGGCGCCCGGCTAGTTTTTTGTATTTTTTAGTAGAGACGGGGTTTCACCATGTTAGCCAGGATGGTCTCGATCTCCTGACCTTGTGATCCGCCCGTCTCGGCCTCCCGAAGTGCTGGGATTACAGGCTTGAGCCACCGCGCCCGGCCGGTTTCCTCTTAAAGTCATTTCCTCATCATCTGATGATAGTTGGTGAAATTAACCTGAAATATATGAAATTCTCATTTCATTGTTTCTTCTCCCTTCTCCTACCTGCACCTCTCCCACCCCCAGAAATAAATAAAACAAACATTGGAGACAAAGCATGAGTGGTAACAGAGCCAAAGAGATTTGGAGCCAGAGGTGCTGGGTCAGGGTCCCATCCTCACCATTTCTAGCTCTTTGATCCTAAGCAGAATTTAACCTCTATTTATTTATTTATTTATTTATTTATTTATTTATTTATTTATTTATTTATTTATTTTCCTACGGGAATAATTATACTAAAAATGCCTACCTCAGGATAATTGAGAGGTTCAGATGATATTTTTCAGAGTGCCGTTGTTACTTTGGACAGTGGTTTTGGCTTTATCTGTTTGGTTGCCACTCATACGTCATCTCCAAGGTAGAAACTGTTAGAAAAGTGTCTGACGTGGTCCAGCTCCACACCAAGGTATCTAACTGATGGACTTGGAGGAAAGTGGAGCCTGGCCTGGTTATAGTTTCCAAAAACATTCCTGGGCTCAGAAGTGCTGAAGAGCCACGTTGTGTGCACCTTCAAACCCTTATCTTTGTCTCTTCCTTCTTCATATGTGGCCACCTTGAGAAATCAAGGTGTACTACGTGTCCTGCCTACTGGCAAGGCAACTTCCGGGCACAGCCCCACAGCGGAAAAAGTTCTGGGACATTTAGCCTATCAGCTGCAGTCTTCCCACAGGGCTCCTGCAGCCTTCTTCTCTGTTCTCTGCTCACGTGCAAAGTTTGCCTTTAAACCCACAGATATGAATACTTACTAGAGTGGGTTCCTCCATATCCTCACCTCCATATGTCAACATACAGGGTTTAGGCAGTGCACATTTCAGACACCTGCAGGGAGGTAGACAACCACTGTTTTGTAAGCATTGATTGCCTTCTCTCTCTCTCTCTCTCTCTCTCTCTCTCTCCCCCCTCTCTCAGGGTCTCACTCTGTTACCCATTAATAGGAGAGCAGTAGTGTGATCATGGCTCAGGCAGCTTTGAACTCCCAGACTTGAGATCCTCCTGCCTCAGCCTCTAGTAGCTAAAACTACACTGCATTTGGCTGATTTTTTTTTATAGGAACAGAGTCTTGCTGTGTTGCTCAGGCTGGTATTGAACTCCTGGCTTCAAGCAATCCTCCTGCCTCAGCCTCCCAAAGTGTTGGGCTTACAGGTGTGAGGCACTGTGTCTGGCCTGATTGGTTGTTTAATGTGCAGTCCCCTGAGGGTCTTGTTAAAAATGCAGATTCTGATGCAGCATGTCTGAGATATGGCCTTGGAGCTTGGGAGCTCTAAGGTCCAGCCCTCCTTGGACCACCCTTTGAATAGTGAGGCTCCAGGAGATCCCACAGGCTTCCAGATCTGACACTTCTGAGCTTCCTAAACTCCAGAGCCAAGCCCCCAACAGAAAGTGGGATCAGAGGCCAGGCATGGTGGCTCACACCTGTAATCCCAGCACTTTGGGAGGCTGAGGAGGATGGATCACCTGAGGTCAGGAGCTCGACACCAGCCTGGCCAACATGGTGAAACCCCGCCTCTACTAAAAATACAAAAATTGGCCAGGTGTGGTGGCATGCACCTGTAATCCGAGCTACTCGGGAGGCTGAGGCAGGAGAATCGCTTTAAGCTGGGAGGCAGAGGTTGCAGTGAGCCAAGATCACACCACTGCACTCCAGCCTGGGTGACAGAGTGAGAGTCCGTCTCCAAAAAAAAAAAAAAAAAAAAAAAAAAAAAAAAAAAAAAAAGTAGGATCCACAGTGGTCCACTTCACCTCTTTCCCTGCTAGCTTGAATTAAGAGAAAAGTATGCTTCCCAGTAAGGCTTTGCCATGCCCCCAGGCAGCACTAAACTCCTCCACTTTCCCCTGGGTAAACCCGAGGCAGTGGCCAATCTCATTGAGAGGCTCTCTGAAGCTGGCGCCAGTTTCCTTCCTGAGACCTCCACCCACAGCTGAAATTGCCTCCAGACTCTGCTGTCTGCATTCTCCCAACGACCAAATTAGCATGGCAGAAATGCATCACTGCAACCTTCCAACTCTCAAATTACTTTGATGAGGCAGAATCTCTGCCTCATCCCAGATGTCCCCAAAAAGGGTTGGGCGTGGTGGCTCATGCCAGTAATCCCAGCACTTTGGGAGGCTGAGGCGGGAGGATCACCTAAGGTCAGGAGTTTGAGACCAGCCTGACCAACACGGAGAAACCCTGTCTCTACTAAAAATACAAAATTAGCTGGGCATGGTGGTGCATGCCTGTAATTCCAGCTATTTGGGAGACTGAGGCAGGAGAATCGCTTGAACCCAGGAGATGGAGGTTGTGGTAAGCTGAGATCTCACCATTGCACTCCAGCCTGGGCAACAAGAGCAAAACTCTGTCTCAAAAAAAAAAAAAAAAGAAACAAACAAACAAACAAAAACAAACAAACAAAAAAACCAGATGTCGCCAGAAAGGAAGTTGTTATGGGCACCAAATGGTTGTCATAAAATTCATATTTTGTCGTTCCCCTTCCCATAGCTGGTGGCCTTCAAAAGAGTATTTTATTGTCTCTCTCCAACA